CCTCATTCTGCACTGGGAAGGCTGGAGAGGGGTGGGGAGCTGTGGGGTGTCTGGAGGTAGTATGGAGAGCTCAGGATTCCCACCCTTTCAGAAATGAGGTGGTGGAGACAGGCAGGGCCTACTAGGCTTCTGAAGCAGCACTCGCCAGGGACATTTTAGTGACCTTTTCCCCTGTGTTCTCAAAACACCTTTACAAATACACCATTTGTCTTTAATTCTGGCAGGGTGGTTTGCGTGAGCTGGGGGTAGTGCTGTTAGCCAACCTTTCATAATATTTAACAATCAGTAGAGATGAAAAGCTGTTTGGCTTCTTTCCCATCGATCACACAGCCTGCTTTTTCTTTTTGTACAATTTTCGTATGATTAACCCTCCCACCCGCATTAAAGTTCTTCAGCCTTCTTAGTAGAAAGCTCTGTGAAGTTCGATTCCCCCACGGAAGTTACTTCATGGAGCGGAAGCGTTTGAGAAATCAGATCTTGCCTTTCTTCTTGTGGACAGATGAGGTGGCTGAGGCCTAGAGGGAGCTTGATTTGAGATGAGTAGTTCTTATGCCTGACTAGGTCAAGTAGCGACTTACTCTTCTTCACACTTAATCAAATCCTCACTCTCTAACTGAAACTTTGTACCCTTTGACCAGTACCTCTTCTTTCCCCGCTCCCCCGCCCCCAGCCTCCATAACCACTGTTCTACTCTTCACTTCTTCACCTTCTGCTTTCTTAGATTCCACATATAAATAAGACCATGTGGTATTCGTCACCTATTTCACTTAACGTAATGCCCTCCAGGCTCATCTGTGGCCATGGGTGATAATCATGTATTGTATATTTAAAAATTGCTGAAGAGTAGATCTTAAATGTTTTCATCACAAGAAAAGTAACTTGGTGAGGTGATGGATAGATTAACTAGTTTGAGTTAATCATTTCACAATGTATACATAGATCAAAACACCCCATTGTATCTTATAAATATATACAATTATTTTTGTCAATTAAAATTTTAAAAAATTACAAGAGGCTGAGGTGAGGTTACAGTGAGCTGTGATCATGGCACTGCACTCCAGCCTGGGTGATGGAGCAAGACTCTGTCTCTTAAAACAAAGAAATAAATAAATAAATTTAACAATTAATTTTAAAAAATCCCAACTCTTCCATCACCCAAGCCCTGCATCCTTCTCCCTTCCCCCAAGACCCCCTCCCCTGCCACTGTGCTCTGATTCCTAGAGCAGTGTGTCCCTGTCCTGCCACTCTTGCTGGGCCTGTGGCTGTCGCTCTTCCTTGGGTAGCTTCCCCATTACTCCTCAGGGGCTTCCCTGGCTACCCTCTGCTCGGGCCCCTCCTGAGTGTTGCATCAGCACCTTTCCTGCCTTCACCCACCAGCCACAGCTTGTGTTTACCGTGTGAGCCAGAGCACTTGTTTGTCACCTCACGGTCTTCCCCGCCATGAGGGCAGGGACTGCAGTCTTGCTTTCATTCTTGCTTTCGTGCCGTCTCCCCAGCTGTGGGTGAGGTGTGTGCACATACGCTCAGCATGTTTGTAGAATGAACACATGTATAAACTAGACTTTGAATGCAGATTATTGTTCTCTCCTGGCCGTTAAAGGTGCTTCTTCCTGCTGCCCATTTACATCTCAGGTGTTACCATCTCTGGCCAGTGCCTGCCCTGTTGTTGTCATCTAACAGTCATGGGACCACACCTTTGTGACTCTCAGGGCCAGAGGTGTTTGGGAATGTGGAATTTTTGAGATTTTTAGAGCAGAAATAGTGAAAGTACCATATATTATAGAATATCCTAGGCAGCACAATATAATCAAGCACATTAAGATTTTTGCAGCAAAGTATATGAATATTCACACTAAGTGGGACAGTGAGACTATGAATAGCTTCACATCAGATCAGGGCATACTGCCAAGTGAGTTATGAACATGCTTTCAGTTTTCAGAGAGCTTTTTGGATTTTCGAATTGCAGAGAAGGGATTATGGACCTGTCTTAGTGAGCATCTGCTTGTCACGCATTATGCAGCGTGCTGAAATACAAAGGAAGAAAACATCACGCCTGCCCTCCCGTGTAGGGGGTGGGTGGTCACCACATGCGGGTGATGAGCCCATGCTGGGAGGGCACTCCTGGCAGGTCCTGGTGTTCTCCCTGTCATCTCCCCCTTTCCTTTGAGAGCGTGCTCTACAGGTGCGGTTTCAGGTGAGCCACATGGGGGGCTGGCAGAAGGGGCACTGCATCGTGACACAGGGTCAAGTGTGTTCCTCTCAGAGTGTAGAGGTAACGGTTCTGGATCACCTGGATCCTGCCCTCGGGTCTGGCTGCCTGGGTCCAAGGAGGAAAGGGCCGACTCCAGATGATGCTGCAGACCAGGAGCACTGCCTTCACTTCCTAACCTTCTGCAGTTGGGCGCCGGGGCCCCCTGTCTGCAGTCACACACTCTGCCCTCTTAGCTGGGCCTAGAGCTTTAAAGATCAACTAGATTCAACATAACGTTTCTTTGACTTTTTAAATACAATGAGTATAGTTTTATTTTAATGTTTTTCAGATGCATTTTGATGTAGGTAGGTACCTTTACATTTTAAACATTTATTTGCTTTCTGAAATGGGACCAGCACATATACATACATATATACACACACACACATATATATATGTGTGTGTATATATATATATATATTTTTTTGACAGGGTCTTCTTGCTCTGTCACCCAGGCCAGAGTACAGTGGTGCAATCACAGCGCACTGCAGCCTCAATCTCCTGGGCTCAAGTGATCCTGCTACTTCAGCCTCTTGAGTAGCTGGGGTTATAGGCACCCACTACCACACTTGGCTAAGTTTTAAAAAATTTTTTTGTAAAGATGGGGTCTCACTATGTTGACTAGGCTGGTCTTGAACTCCTAGGTTCAAGCAGATCCTCCTGGCTCAGCCTCCCAAAGTGCTGAGATTACAGGCATGAACCACCACACCCTCCTGGTACCTGCATTTTGAAAATGTTTCATTGCCAAGCCTGCGGGGAAGTCTGCCCTTTTTTTATTAGAAAATGAAGAGCTAATTCTGAAATATGCCTACTAAATATGCATATCTCAAGCATTTTGTGAAAGGATGTAGGGTGAAATAGTCTGTTCCTGAAGCAAATATCACTGTGTGTTCGTTCCATTATTTCCGAAGTTTTTCTGTGGCCTTTGATAAATTGTGTAGAATGTATTAAGTCTCATCTGAAAATGTATATTAAAGATTGTTCTTTTAATTTAAAATGATTTGTCCAAGGTACTTAATGAGTCAAAGTTTAATGAACCACGACACTATTAGTAACACCATCTCAATCTTTCAGATTTTATAAAAGATATTACAGTTTTCAGAAGGTTGAGAATCGTCTTTTGTAATGTAAGATAGTTAAGAATAGAGTTTATATAGTTAAGATTAGGATTTGTATTGCAAAAACTCCCTTCAAGATGCATTTTGGGCCTTTATGAGCGAGTAATCATGACAGGACAGAGTGGCTTCACCCACAGTTTTGTGGTTAATATTTGCAAGTCGTTTATTTAACAAGGTTGAAAAGAGGCTCCCTGGTGTCTTTTATAATTACCCTTTTCTGGGGACCAACTTACAAGTAAAAAATATCTGGTGGTATTATCTTTGCTTCAGATGTATTATGTTTATGGAATTGGAAATGTTTGATTTCTTAGTGTGTGTGTGTATCAATGGATTATGTTGTTTAAAAATGTTTGCATCTGTATTGCATGTATAAACATGTCTGTTTCCAAGTGTGGCCTTTAAAACACTGAGGGTTTTGTGGCTGGGCGCGGTGGCTCATGCCTGTAATCCCAGCACTTTGGGAGGCTGAGGCAGGCAGATCATGAGGTCAGGAGTTTGAGACCAGCCTGGCCAATATGATGAAACCCCGTCTCTGCTAAAAATATAAAAATTAGCCCGGTGTGGTGGCGTGTGCCTGTAATCCTAGCTATTCAGGAGGCTGAGGCAGAAGAATTGCTTGAACTCGGGAGGCGGAGGTTGCAGTGAGCCGAGATTGTGCCACTGCACTCCAGCCTGGTCGACAGAGTGAGACTCTATCTCAAAATAAGATAAAATAAAATAAAATAAAAATACTGAGAGTTTTTTAAAAGGTCATAATAGAAACATTTTATGTGTTTTAATTGTTTAAATGTTTTCTTTCGGATTAAAAAAAACCTGAATGTAATCTGGGAAAATGTTAAATGGCTGCAGCACTATAAGATTTTCCACAGAAATGTGTTATTCACAGTGAAGCACAATGGGAAGACTCCATTAGCACTTTAGATGGTATCATAACTTTGGAAAAACCATTTCACCATGCGAGTATTTACAAAAACTGAAGCCGTCCCTGTGAGGTTTTGACAGAGCTTAGCTATATAGGTAGTAAGTGACGCAGTGCTAAAAGCAGTCTTAAATTACCTATGTCAATATGCAGATTTTCTCTATTTAGTATTTTAACTATGAATTTACCAATCTGAGTAACTTGAAATGCAGTATCATAAAAAGAATCAGATCTACCAAACTGAAAATGTGTGCGTATCTAAAGTAGTTTCTTTTCTTGATTTTGGTTAAGTTAACAGAAGTATCTTCACATCTGTAATTTCTGGTAAGTTAATGAGAACACGCTGAACTTTTGGGTCACAATAAATTTTCCCATTATGTAAAATATTTTACACACTGGTTGACTCATTGTGAATTGTGAGTCGACATGATTCTCTTCCTGCGGAAAACAGAAACACATGCTGGCCGGGCGCGGTGGCTCATGCCTGCAATCCCAGCACTTTGGGAGGCGAAGGTGGGCAGATCACCTGAGGTCAGGAGTTTGAGACCAGCCTGACCAACGTGGAGAAACCCCGTCTCTACTAAAAATACAAAATTAGCCAGGCGTGGTGGCGCATGCCTGTAATCCCAGCTCCTCAGAAGGCTGAGGCAGGAGAATTGCTTGAACCTGGGAGGCAGAGGTTGCCGTGAGCAGAGATCGCACCATTGCTCTCCAGCCTGGGTAACGAGTGAAGCTCTATCTCAAAAAAAAAAATAAATAAATAAAAACTAAAAGAAACACATGTTATTGTAATGACAATTTGAGCCAATTACAGGATTGTGCTTATGTTACCACATTGACTGTAGGTCCTTTCTGTGAGTTGGGTTGTTGAAGAGTTTGAGGTAGACAGATGGCAGTGGGTGGGAATGAGTTGGGAGCTTTTGTTAGGTTTAGAGAATGTAGTCTTTCCACCATCATTTAGTTGTTTATTTTATGCATAGGCTTATTTTTGTTCTTGTGAGCATTATGTTGAGTTAATGTGTTTTCTTTGACCTCAAACCTTCTGAAATGTTTCTAGGTCTTAAAGATTCAGGTATTATTTATTTCATAGTAGACAGAATGAAGTAAATGAATACTTTCTTGGGGGATAGTGTTGATAAGTTTCATAGTGACACCTCTCCCTCATGATTAAAAGTGCTACATTTGCACAAATATGTGATTTATATTTTACATTAAAATTAAGATCAAGTTTTTCCTTGAGAAATTGTTGAACTTTTAGATTTGGGAGAGGGGGAGTTCCTACAGGAATTATGAATTGTTTTGACCAGTGAGAAGCTTATTTAACATTTTTGGAAGGAGTACCCCAAAAGTAATGCGTCTTTTGGCATAGTGGAAACTTGCAATAATGTTTTCTTGTTGTTTTTTAATTGAGTGAGTGAGCTGCATCTCTATTGGATGTTTGGCCTTTGACTTGATTGTGTCAGCTTTTAGAAAATAACTTTATGGAAATCGTCAGATTCCATACAATTACCTATTTAAAGTGTCCATGTCCGTGGTGTTTGGTATATTCACAGAGTTGTGCAGCCATTGCCTACTTCGGACGTTCTATAGAAATGCAGTTGACAGTATGTGTTTTCTGTGTGTAGCCTCTGTCATTCAGCACCATGTTTTCATTCATGTTGTGCATGTATGCATCGGTTGTTCCTTGTTAATGTCGAATATTACTCCATCGTGTGGATGGTCCACATTTTATGTATTCGTTAGTCCATTAATAGGCATTGGGGTTGTTTCTACTTTTTGACTGTTGTGTGATAATGCTGCTGTGAACATTCATGTTCAGGTTTTTGTGTGGACGTGTCATTTCTCTTGGGAATATACCTACGCGTTTGTATCCGCTTTTGTTGTTTCTTTTACCTACAGTTCAGATTCCCATTTATGTTTGTACAGACACTTTGCTACTTGTAACTGGGGCTTGTTTGACCTTTGTTGCTGACCTAGTGACTTCTTGTGTCATGTTGAAAGCCCCTGAGACCCTCTGTTGCCTAGAGAAACAGGCAGATTTGCAGTCTCTTTCCTTCCTAAGACCAGATCACATCTGGTGGTCATGAAATGGTCTTATCAAATAAGTACCTGTTAGATTTTTGGTAAATAAGTATGTATCTAAGCCAAATAAATTTTGTGTGTATTTTATATTATTTTTCTTCTCTCTGCTTCCTCTTGGGTACATCCTTTGTTCTGTGGCCCCAGTGGCACCTAGAGTGAATATGAATGATTTGTCTATGTTTTCCCTTCAGGCGGAATGTTGCTTACTTGGATTTTTTCTTGTTAATTTTGGTGACTGAGTTGCCTGTTTTTGAAGTGATAAATACCTTCGGATAGTAGGGTTGCTCTTTAGCATTTTAAGTGTCCAAATGAGACCTATTGGGATGTTTCCATAATTTGCATCAAATTCATGTAAATGCGCCTTAATGATATTAGCTAGTCTGTCTGAGCTAAATTATTAATTTCATTACTACTATTTAATAAAGGGGCAGGATTTGCCATGGTCATTCTAGTTAATAGTAAGAGCCCTGTAGGTCTCTCATCATATATCTAAGCGGAATTAAGCTTGGAAATATTACTGAGTGCCTTGTGGCTCTATTTGGTAACAGTCATGCCTTACATTTTGAGACAGCTTATACTTTTACACACCAGGAGACTCATTGTGAATTGTGAGTAGATATGATTCTCTTCTGGCAGTAAGGGAATGCATTCAGTCAGTTGAAAATCAACATTATGTGGTTTGCAGGATAGGTCTTACTCCTTTCTTAGGCAAGGAATCTGGGATCCAGAAGGAGTGAGCGGTTGGTTAGGAGGAGTCAGTGCCAGAGGAAGGCAGCGTGCCCTTTCTGCTCTGCCCACGCTGTGAGGACACCAGGCCGTACCTTCGCCAGGAGGAGGTCATGCCAAGTCCAAAGCGTCAGGCCGCTCAGAGCCAAGCAGCTTTGCTGGAGCACCCACTGGTGCACTTGGAAAGTGATTTATCCTGTTAAAGCCTCGCTGCCACCTCAGCTGTAAATTGGAGACAGTAGGAAGCCATCTCTGCAGGCCTGTGGGGACCTGGCACCTGGGCACTGAACCCTGCTGCCCTTGGTCAGATGGTTGCATTGGGAAGCAGTTGGAAGGGTCCTGTGGTGTGCTCCTTCTGGGACCTTCTGCCACCCCCTGGAGGCAGCTTGAGCCCCTACCCATCTCCCCCCATCAGTGCACATTCCCTTCAGCCCTGGACCAGCTGTGGGGCCCTCCTCTGTAGGTGCTGGCTGTTCCAGGAGGCACACGAGTGTTGGTGTGGGACCTGCCCACTGCTCGAGATCCCCCAGGGAGAGCCCGCTCAGGCTACGCACGGGCTTCTGGCCGCATGGGTCAGCATCACAGGACGGACAGATCAGTGGGGGAAGAGTCCTCCTGCAGTGCTGCTGCCACTGGAGGCTGGTGAGAGTGGTGCTGCCATAGAGAACAAGCCTTGATCCCTGACTTGAAAGGCAGAGTTCTTCTGGAACTTCTGCGAGGAGTGCCCAGAGTGGCACCTAAATACGTTAGAAGCGCTTGATGAAAGTTCCTCTGAGGCTTTTAAACTGCTCGAGTGAGTCGCTCTGAAGCACAGTGATGGCAAAAGGAAACCACCTCACGCTGCCTCTTTGTGCCTTCTGTCCTCATCTCCCGTGGGCCGTAGGTGTTCCCTGTCAGGATTTATGCGGAGGCATGTCTGCTGTGGCCGAATGTGTTCATTCATTCATATCTCACAGTAAGAGGGAGGGATGGGGGAGGAAGACTGCCGTATTTCCTTAAAAGTTTTTCTGTAACTCGAATCCCTCCCACCCCCATGCAGTAACACCATCTTTTCCAGTTGGTGTCAGTGAATTCTGTTTTGGGTACCTACAGAAGCAGTAGGGGAGGTTAGGATGTGGCTGGAGGATGCTGGTTCCTGGGTGTAAATCCTGGCTCTTGCGCTTGAACTGACTGTGCCTCAGCGTCCTCGTCTGTTCGGTGGAGCCGCCTCAGAGAGGAACAAGTGAGTTGTGCGTGTGGAGCAGGTGGCTGACATGTGGCGAGTCCTCCAGGAATGCGGCAGCAGAAGGAACACGTTGAGCACCGCAGATACAACCCTGACCACCACTGCAGGACTTCTGTGCGGGGGCAGCTGCAGAACCACCACTTCAGGACAGCATGGGAGCTGCTGGAGGTGGGGGGAGCTCAGGGAAAGGGCCTTGCTACCAGGGGTGGGAAGGGAGTCAGTGAAGACGTCCTGGAGGAGAAGATTCCAGAGCCTGAGATGTGAAATAGAGTTAGGTAGCCAGAGACCAGGCAAAGAAGGGCCGTTTTCATCAGAGAACAGCATAACACTGGCAGAGGTCTGACATGTCATTTCCTGTTACTAGAATTGGGGAGTGACCAGTGGATTCTTTAATTTGTTTATTCTTTCGTGCAGTCCTTCACCTCACACCTGTTCAGGGTCCGGTGGGGCTCTGGACATAGGGTGGAAGGAAACCATCTGAGCAGAGGCCGCTTGGACTGTCACCTCCGTCGGGTGCCAAGGCTGCCAGAGGACAGCTGTTACTTATGGGTGGCGGTGTGGTGCGGTGGCACAATACAGAGCTGCCCCACTGTGTCCATGCCCTGGCGCCTCCCCGCAGTCACCATGTGCCTTGGATGATAAGGCTCCGGCCACAGACATATGCCCTTGCAGAGGACCTCCCGCACCTGCTGAGGATTGTGTACAGCCATCTGGAGGGTATTCTCCCTTGGCCCTCCCTGTAGTCCAGCTGAGTCCACATCCTTCACCTCTTTTTAACTCTTCCTTTCTTACAGAACCTGGAGCTGCAGTCGGGCTCGAGTTCTGCCTCCTATGCAGTTCCAGCCGTCCTCCACCATGCATGATGGTGTGTTTTCCATTATTCTTCCTCCCAGAGCACTTGCACCCACCCTGGCGGTGGTTCCCGATGGTCAGATTGAGTATCCCTTATCTGAAATGCTTGGGACTAGAAGTGTTTCAGATTCTGATCTTTTTGGATTTTGGAATGTTTGAATATGCATAATTAGATATCTTGGGGATGATACTTAAGTGGAAACACAAAATTCTTTTCATATACACCTTATACACATAGCCTGAAGGTAATTTTATGCAATATTTTAAATATTTTGTGCATGGAACAGAGTTTTGACTGTGACCTGTCACATGAGATCCACTTGTGGTGGTATGTTGGTACTCAGAAAGTTTCAGATTTTGGAGCAGTTTGGATTTTTGGATTAGGGATGCTCCACTTGAATATCCTTTTATATACAACACATGGTCAATGCTCACTAAATGTATTGCATGAATGAATGAAAACCAAAGGTCAATTTACTAAGCGTGCTACTATTTCAGAAACCTCTTTTTCCGAATTTGATTATATGGTCAATGGTTTAATATTTCAAGTGCTCTGACCACGTAATGGTTATTACCACACTGTGAAGGTAGCTGGGTGTTCCGTGATTGCTGCCCCCAGAGGACCTGGAAGTGCTTGCTGTACTTGCATTTTCTGGAATGGAAATCATGGCTTATTCCCAGGAGCCCCCAGCGGGGGCTTTGAGTCTGGTGCTAAGCGGCAGATGTGCAGATTCCCGCAGGGCGTACCTGAGCCCCGAGAGGGGGCGTCGTAGTGCACAGCGCACTCATTTCCGCATTCCTACCCCGCACAGCCAGTTGTCACAGCCATCCTCCAGTAAAAACCACAAACCAGTCAACCTCTAGGAAACAGGTAGGAAATCTAGAAAAAGCCTCAGGTGTTCACAGCATTCTTTAAAGATTCTTTAAAAATCTTTGTGATTGGAAAGACTGCTTCCTGTGCCAGAGAGTCTCTCTCCAGTGCTTTTGCTTCTGAGGTTGGTAGCTTTCAGAAAGACTGCAATGCAGCGGTTACCAAAGTCCTTGTTAATATGGAAACAACCCGTGGCGAAGCCTTTTACTCCCCTTCATAACTGCTGACTGTTGCCTGCAGTCGGAAGGAGGAGATAATGAAGGTAATACTCCTCCGGACCTGGCAGTTTAGTGATTAGAACGGACGCGGTTCTGTGAATGCTGTGGCTGGCACAGGCATGTCCTGCAGCAGCTCTGTCAAGTTACTGATGCAGTGGGCTTCCTGGGAACGTGAAGCTGAAGATGTCTTTGCAGTTTGTGCACGATAATTTTGTTTTCATCTCTGTGTTCAGATGGTGGATTATAAGAAGGTAAGGGACTTTACAAATCATGCATATGTGTATTTTGAATGTTTATGAATATCCCTAGTCAAGGTAAAGAATGATGATTGAATAGACCTCTTTTGAACCTAAGAAATAAAACTTTATTTCTTGTTAATGACAGTTTTGACATTTGAAGAGTTATCTTAGTCTTGACAGATGCCCTATAAGTGAATTATTGAAGATGTTCTTTGAAGAGATCTGCTTTTTCTTCGATTTGCTAAACATAGTTGAATTTCAGAGATGTAGATACGGATGGAATATATTTGTTTCTTTAAGTTAAGCAATGACAGTTACATTAATCTGGATGGAACTTTTCATCTTAAAAAATCTCAACCACTGGCTGTAGATGATGAATTCTAATCTCCTTAGTTCTTATTTTGCCTTTAGAAGAGCATTTTCAGATGCGTGGAGCTCTGTGCTTATCCGTGGGGTGAGCTGGGTGCTACCTCCAGCTGCTGCTCTTCGTTTATCTTAGAGGGAGGCCAAGAGTCAGAGCTGAGATTTATTTTGCAATGAATTAGTGGCACCAAACGGTATTAAATGCATTATGGGTGGTAATTTATATGTCCAATGCCAAGAAATATAATGTTGGGGTTACCATGGCAACTGCTTGCATTCTGAGAAGCTCGTGAATGGGTTCTGAACCTTCTGGCGTTGGAAGTGAGCTTTTCCAGCTGAGAGCCTGCATTCGTGATTAGTGTAAATAAATTCAGCTTTCCGTATGAAGCACATCCTTTCTCTTAGCTTACCAGAGTAGTCCATTGAGCTCAGTTCTTTCTCTAGTGACATCTGCCTTGGTCTCTTGGTTCCTGGCAACAGACTATGGCTGAGACATAGTTTTCAACTTCAGGCTGAGGAACTAGCGCGCGTGTGTCTGTGTGTGTGTGTGTGTGTGTGTGTGTGTGTGTGTGTGTGTGTGTTGGCCTACTACCTCAGTCCGTGGGCTGTGTAGAATGGGACTGGCTCATCCGTGCCTCCTGAGAGCTGGCAATGCATGATGTCTCCAAAAGCACAGTTGCAGCCGCATGTGCTGGTGGGCCCCAGCACAGCTTTCTATCCATCTGAAGGGCTTGTTTCCAGTAACATTTGCTAGGACTCTTCCTGGGAGGCAGCCCTGCCTGTTTCCAGGATATCATGGGGATTGGTTTTGGGGAGGGAGGCCCAAGTTAGAAAGACCCATGTTTTAAATGTCAAGCTTGTGAAAATAATAAATGAGGGCCTATTGTCTTCATTGCCGAAGGTCTGTTTGCTATTTGTTAGAACTGTATGTAGCATAGGCCAGGGATGGTGGCTCACGCCTGTAATCCCAGCACTTTGGGAGGCTGAGGTGGGAGGATCGCTTGAGCCCAGGAATCTAAGACCAGCCTGGGCAAAATAGCGAGACCTCACCTCTACAGAAAGATAAAATAAAATAAATAAATAGATGAAGAAAACTAGTTTCCCTTGTGCATTTAAAACAATGTTGACATGATTGCCAGGGACTGAAATGTCTCTGTGTGATTTCAGGGGCCTGAGGTCGGAAGGTCGGAGCCTGGTGGTTGCTGCCAAGGTGGCAGCTCCTAGAGGGCCTGGCCAGACAGTGGGAGAATTTTTCATGCTCTGTAGAATTCATTCTATTTGTTAATAAACATTGAGATTATAGAATTTAAATGATGAACTTGAGGATAGACTGGCCTTCAGGCACACAGTGGGCATGTTGCTGTGGCTCACCTGTAGGCCTCAGTTAAGAAGCTTTGTCTAATCCAGTCCCTTTATTTTACAGATGAGGAAAATGAGGCCCAAAGAAGTGATGCCACTTGGTTAAGGTCCCAGTGCAGGTCAGAATCAGATCTAGGATCAGAAACCTGGCTCCTGGCTCCTGGCTCTCTACTCTTCTAAGGATCGCTGTCCTGACAGAAGAGGTTTGCTCTCAGTTAATTGTTGTTCGTTCTTTTGCTTTCCTTTTGTCAGAAAGAGGCCTGTAATAACAACGGGCATCTAATGTAGACTCTGTAATTTTAGAATTTTAAAAATTCTTGTCTTCCCTTCCTCTGGTTATTTATAGAATTTCTACTCAATGTGCTGGAGTCACCCACAGGAGGGGCAAAGGGCGTGACCTCTGCCCTTAATGCTGTGTGCTGTGATGGGAGATGGGTGCATAGCCGAACCTGCAAACTGGAATGTTGAGATGAATTCTGGCTTGACACCTACATTTCTGCTGGTCGGTGGTATTCTGTGTTCTCGCAGAGAAGCTGCAGTGCCCAGCAGTTACCCAGGGGTGAATCTCAGTCACCACCTATTAAATCAAGGTCATGATACTGTATTTACTAAGGCAGGACAACATTGTAATTTAGGCTCAACTTACAAGTTGCAACTTATTACAAGTAATAAGAGGTTCGGCTTACAAGGGTTGAAATACAGATTGATTTTTTTAGCCAGATTCCATTGAACCCTGGTTTTTAATTTTCTGATCTTGAAAGAAGACTGAGATTTTACTGTATAACTCACTCAGGGTGACATTGTGTTTTCCTAAGTGTTCTCAGTGATATCTCCCGTTCTCCCTATTCTTCTCACATGGGACTTTGACAGAGAGGTGCGCCTGGACTGGGTGTGTGGCCTCTCTCACCCAGCAGTATGGCACAATGGTGCTATATGACTTCTGAGTTACGTCCTTAAAAGGGTGCAGTTTTTGCCTGGATGTTCTTTTTGGAGTACTTGTTTGCCATCCATATGGTGAGGAAACCCATCTCGCCCACACAGGAGGACCACACAGTGAGTAGGGCATTGACATAACAAGATGACTTCTGTTTTCTGAGTAACTTCCACCACAGTGGTGGAACTGTGTCCCCAAGCTCAGCAGGCAGAGGTAAAACATTTTTCAAAGAAAAGGATAAGATAGGCTCCCAGTTTACCACATGGTGAAGAGAGGCCTCTGGCTCTTCCAAACTGATGCTGATAGAGCGTGGAGTGCTGGGACTTCGGTCAGGCCAGGTCCTGCCACCTCACTGTCCAGCTCTCCCGAGTGCTCCTGGCCTGCCCTGCTCTCTGCCCAGTGCTGCCTGCTGCCCTTACATGGGGTAACCTTCTGTCTCCCAGCCCCAGCCATGGGTCCCATTGCCCAGAATGCAAGAGCCTTTCTTGGCTTAGAACTTTAACTCAAAACCATCTGTTCTTAGAGGGTTTGTTTTCTTTTTTTTGGCCTGGGATTTTGAGAATATCTAACAGTGCTGGGCAGTTTTATCATTCATCATCATGGGTAGTTTGTTTTATTACAACTTGCAGCTTCATATCTTAAAACAAATTCATTTCTTGCTTTCAGATTTGCTTATCTGAAAGTTTTGTTAATAATAGTAACTTAGCACAAAGCTTCTAATATATGAGTTGATGAAAAGCCTCTCCTGTATCACCTTTAATAAGGATAATTTTGAAGTGTAATTTAATGCCCGGAAGCCAGTTGGTACTGAGATTTAATTTTGTACTTGGAAAAGAAGTATGAGAAGAAAAGTGTCCTTTTTTCCTTAAATTTTTTTTTCTTAGTTGACATATAAAATTGTGTATATATTTATCATGTACAACATGATATTTTGAAGTATATATATTATGGAATGGTTAAGTCTAGCAAATTAGCAAGTGTAAAGATAAACTCACAGTTATCCTTTTTTGTGGTGAGAATACTTTATATCGATTTTCTTTTTTTAAACATAAAATCTTTCAGCAAAGACATCTACTTTCTCAGCATTTTTCAAGAAGAAAAGTATCTTTTTAACAAATATGTTTTCTAAGCCCTGCTGGTCTGCAACCCACTCCATTCAGTTAATATTTATCAAGCACTGACCAGGTGCAGTGGCTCCCAGCACTTCGGGAGGCCGAGGCAGGTAGATCACCTGAGGTTAGGAGTTCGAGACCAGCCTGGTCAACATGGCAAAACCCCGTCTCTACTAAAAATACAAATATGAGCCAGGCATGGTGGCGGGCCCCTGTAATCCCAGCTACTCGGGAGTCCGAGGCAGCAGAATTGCTTGAACCTGGGAGGTGGAGGTTGCAGTGAGCCAAGATTGTGCCATTGCATTCCAGCCTGGGCAACAAGAGTGAAACTCCTTCTCCCCACCAAAAAAACATATATTTATCAAGCACTACCTACACATACACCCACTCTCTGTCTCTCTCTCTCACACACACACACTAATAGACATAGCAGTAATATATATTAAGCATGAATACAGCAAGAAGTTTGGTATCCCAGAATTAGAACGGGGCTTTTTTCCTATATAATCTACAAAATGAGATGTTGAATTGATATTTAATACTAAGCTACTTCTTAAGCATTTAATTTTTCTTACTGCATTATGTTTCTAATTTTAAAACCTGAGAATTATGGAAAATAGGTAATTTCTACTTATCTTTCAGATTATAGATTAAATGTCCTCTCCTGGCGTGGGGGAGGTCCCCATATTCACATAAATGGGTGTGATCTCCATGTGCACTGCGCACTTCCCTTTGGTACTTTTCGTCTCACACACATGTATGTACGCCCTGCACAGACACATGCCCTCTTATTGCTGGTGTTGTGTCTTCTTGCCTGTGGACTGTCAGCTCTGTGAAGGGGAGGTTTCTGTCTTTCTCGTCCCTCTCCCTTCTGTGGCACTCAGTACCTGTTGGGTGAATGAATGAATACTAGACACAGACGCTTTCCTTGATGGTGGTTGGATGATCTAACCTTTCCTTATAGTACTTTTTCAGATGTTTTCAAATTCAAGAAATCTTTTTTCTATCACTAAGTTACTACTTTTCCAAATTATTGAATACTTCTATTTTCTTCTGCCTTTAAGGAGTAGGAAACAACTAAGAACAGATGATGTCTCGTGTTCTGAATGGATCCTTCCTTCCTTTGCTCTTCTCTCGAGTTCTTTCTCATGCAAGTGAACACCCATATTGTGAGGGGTAACAAATTTAAATGAGTATAGAGATGACTGAGGAGAATGAGGTAGTTTGGAAAAACTAGAAAAACCTGCCTGAGTGCTTTTGATATTTTAATTTATACGCAATTCTTTTACGTTTCATTTTTCTCAAGATAAATGCCAGACTGTGGAAAGGGTGCTGTCATTTAAAAATATTTGGGCATGTGGCCGGTTGCAGTAGCTCACGCTTGTAATCCCAGCACTTTGGGAGGCCGAGGCGGGTGGATCACGAGGTCAGGAGTTCGAGACTAGCCTGGCCAACACTGTGAAACCCCGTCTCTACTAAAAATATAAAAATTAGCTAGTCATAGTGGCACCTGTAATCCCAGCTACTCAGGAGGCTGAGGCAGGAGAATGACTTGAACCCAGGAGGTGGAGGTTGCATGGAGCCAAGATTGCACCACTGCACTCCAGCCTGGGCAACAAAGCTAGACTCTGTCTCAGGGGTGAAAAAAAGAGAATATTTGGGCGTGCATACTGCCAAAGGCGATTTACAGACTCAGTGCTATTCCTAGCAGATTACTGAGGACCTTCTTCACAAAACTAGGAAAACACTGCTTTAAAACTCATATGGAACCAAAAAAGCCCAAATAGCCAAGGCAGTCATAAGCAAAAGAACAAAACTGGAGGCATTCTGTTACGCAACTTCAGACTATACTACACGACTACAGCAACCTAATAGCATGGTACTGGTACAAAAGCAGACACCAGTGGAACAAAAGAGAGAGCCCAGAAATAAGGCTGCACACCTACAACCATCTCATCTTCGACAAAGCTGACAAAAGCAATGGGGAAAGGACTCCCTATTCAATCAGTGGTGCTGGGACGACTGGCTAGCCACATGCAAAAGATTGAAACTGGACCGCTTCCCTACACCATGTACAAAAATCAACTTAAGATGGATGAAAGACTGAAATGTAAAACTCAAAACTATAAAAACCCTGGAAGACAACCTAGGCAGTACCATTCTGGACATAGGAACTGACAAAGATTTCATGAAGAAAACACCAAAAGCAATTGCAACAAAAGCAAAAAAATGACAAATGGGATCTAATTAAACTTAAGAGCTTATACAGCAAAAGAAACTATCAGCAGAGTAAACGTACATCCTACAGCATGGGAGAAAATATTTGTAAATTATGCATCTATAAGGAACTTAAGAAACTTAAGAACTACAAGAAAAAAAAACCCCATTAAAAAGCGGGCAAAGGACACGCACAGATGCTTTTCAAAAGAAGACGCACATGCAGCCAACGAGCATATGAAAAACAGCCCAAATCACTGACCATTAGAGAAATACAAATCAAAACCACAGTGAGATAGCATCTCATACCAGTCAGAATAACTATTATTAAAAAGTCAAAAATAAGATGCTAGTGAGGTTGTGGAGTAAAGGGAATGCTAATACACGTTGGTGGAGTGTAAACTAGTTGAGCCACTGCGGAAAGCAATATGGTGATTCCTCAGAGAGCTAAAAATAGATCTACCATTCAACCCAGCAGTCCCATTACTGGTTATATTATTCAAAGGAATATAAATTGTTCTACCATAAAGATATGTACACATGTATGTTCATTGCAGCACTATTCACAATAGCAAAGACATGGAATCCACCAAAATGCCTATCAGTGGCAGATTGGAGAAGTAAAATTTGGTACATTTATATCGCAGAGTACGATGTAACCGTAAGGAAGAATGAGATCCTTCTGTCTTTTGCAAGAACATGGTTGGGAGCTGGAGGCCATTATCATCAGCAAACTAATGCAGGAACAGAAAACCAAGTACTGAATGTTCTCACTTATAAGAGGGAGCTAAGTGATGAGAACACATGGACACAAAGAAGGGAACAACAGACAGTGGGGCCTACTTGAGGGTGGAGGTTGGGAGGAGGGAGAGGATCAGAAAAAATAACCACTGGGTTCTAGGCTTCGTACCAGGGTTACAAAATAATCTGTACATCAAACCCTGGTAATGGGTTTACCTGTATAACAAACCTGCACATGTACTTCTGAACCTAAAAAAAAGTTAAAAAAAATAACTTGGGCACGAAGACTCATGCCTGGAACACTAGCATGTTGGGGGGAGGATCGCTTGAGGCCAGGAGTTTGAGGTTACACTGAGCTGTGATCGTGCCACTGCACTCCATCATGGGTGACAGAACAAGACCCTGTCTCTAAAATATATACATGATATATACATTTGGTGGGTGCTTTGGTCCCAACTGACCATCTGGGGCAGAGCCAGTGCCATGTGTAAGGTGTAC